CAATCCAGGAGGCCTTTGGGGCGTTGAAGTCACCTACCAGCAGGAGATGAGTGAAATGGTAGTTGGAGGAGAGTTGCTCAAGGGTTTGTGTGAGGAATTGGTCACCTTCAGGGGGACTCGAAGGGCTACGGTAGACCACGCCGAGAAGGAGAGAATCGGACCCGCGCAGCGGGATTTGGACCCACAGTGCATCGCAGAAGGGTGCAGGGGTGGTGTCAGCAGTTTAGAAGGCTTTTTAAGTCTGTAGCACTTCATCATTAAGTAATTAGAAAATGATCCGCAAACACCGACAAAGACCATTATTATCCCTTCACTACCATTCACACTCATCGCCACCACCCCCGCCTAAGTTTTACACGCGCAGACACTGACCCACATACCACATTCTTGCCCCGTATCTTTCGTGGCGATTATTTCACCAAACCTCTTCATCCGAACCCTCAATAAAAATCTCTCCGGCTATTAAACTATTTTTCAGCGAAGCGAAACAGATCGGGCTGGCCGTAATTTTATTAACCTGAGTCGCTCCCATTCTTAAGCAGACACTCAGTTACGCGTTCTGGGCTAAAACGTTCACACCTTTGGGCAAACTCCATACCGATGTATCTTCTATTCATTATTCAGTGGAACCATTCAGCAAATTCTGTTTTAGGTCAGTTCTCTCTGATCGACTTTGTTTTCTTGCACCGGTTTTTGCACTTATTCACCAGCGCTGACAACTTTTTCCATATTGCACTATTACCGCCCACTGTGCAACCGTCTTGCCGGTGCGATGAATTTGGCAGCCTCCGTGTGAGCTGCCACCAGTTTTTTCAAGTATATCCACTCTTATTCACTCCGTGTTTTTGCTATTCTCTTGTTGGCCCGCCAAGAATTATAGTTGGCTTCTTGGTTGTCAACGTAGACCTACTTCAGCTCTTGGTCTGTGGTTTGCTTATCATTTCTACTGTAACGCTACGTCGGCCCAGTCGGTTAAATCGTCTATATTTTATTACTCATTCAACAGTATTTACAACCCCCCACTAAGAGACTCACGTACATTTTGGGAACTAATCCACAGCACTTCGGCAAATTCCAAACACATAGTATCATAACTTCCTGATATTTGTACAATATTAATAAAGATAATAATGTTTGTTTCCAAGTGGACAAGCCAGGTTTGTCGTTACTTAGCGCTGTGAGATGCAGCAGAAGTTTTTATTACCAACGAGTGGGTGGAATACTGTAAGGAATGATCATATTGTCACCGTCAGAAAAAGTATGAACGGCCGGTTTCGGGGGTACTGGGAATTGCACAGAAGAGGGATAATTTGATAAATAGTGGGCATTATCTTATGTAGACTTGTCAACGCATTACCACTCGTGGACAAGGAAGAAACATTTACAAGGACCATTTCACTAGTAAGGGAACATAACAAGCTAGGAAAAGGCCAAATCTTTAAGATTTGAAGGTGGCGGGCAAAAACAAAATGAAGCATCATACTTAGAACTTGATAAGAAAACTTCAAATTGCGGAAAATGTGAAACAAGAATTACGGATCTGGTGAAGCAGCAGGACCGCAAGGGTCCGACCGGTGAATTCGAACAAAAACCCGAAATCAACGCTGCGGCCCTACGGTGGTGGACTGCTGAGCAAGGACCACAAAAAGTGAAAGTGGAGATGATGAATTAGAGGAATCAACAGTGCGGACAAATGGCAGCAAGAATCTCAGAACCACGGTATGCAGTGCAACTGTAGCGAGTCACAGCTTTCGCTTTTAGAGCATAGTTGGGTACAAACTTTCCTGCCAACGCGCGAGACGGAACGTGGCCTGCATAGAAAATGACTGGCCACGTAAGGAGCACAGAATGAACCACCAAGATTTTTAGATATAAACGGCACCTTCAATGGGTTATATTGAACAGAGCCAAGAGGCGGCTGGGGCCTTGTGAATTATTTCTTCGCAGTTGCAAGTAAAGGATCAAGTGGATGAAAGGGGACAGTCAAAATTCAGAAAAGTAGAAAGTTAATAGCTGCAGGTATGGTAGTAAACTGGGTATGGTAGTGTTCTGCCTCACTCCACTGACATGCTTCTGTTTCTTTACAGCCCCTTGACGGGTGGTTGTGCTGGGATGTGCAATTTTTCATTACAGTTGGAGATTTCGTCTCGGAATTTGGAGAACTAAAACGAAGCCGGAGGAAAGTCGCTGATATTCTTAGTTCCGGCTGGGAATCTCTGTGGGACGAAGTTCAAAACCTGGGAAGATGAAGGAATAGGATGAGACCACTAAAGCCGCGTGAGTTTGAGGAGAAATAAGTTAGGGTAGTGTGCAATGATAAAGAGAAGAACTCAAAGTTTACCACAATTATGGTGGTTATTACAAGTGATTAGGTGAGACAGGATGGGGTGTATTTGCACTAAGTGAACTGGCCGTCATGAAGAGAATGGACCTTACCGTGGTGTGACGGTTTGCGCACCTCAGCGATCCATTGAGCTATACTGGAG